TGGGAAAAAAAGATATGTAAGAGCCTAGACATAAGATAGTATAGGGTTGAGTGAGTATGGGAACAGTAGAAATGGAAATAATCTCAAAATTTGATATTCCATGTGAATGGAGAGAGAGAACAAAGGGAATAAAGTTGACCAGGTTGGCAAGTCCAAAGATGAGCTCTGTTTAATAAAAGGTAACGATTTAATAAAAGGTAACAAATTCTGTCTCTGTTAAGTTGAAATAGAAATATTAGTAAAATATCCAAATGAAAGTATACAGCAGGCAGTTAGGATTATAAGTCTTCCAAATTGCAGATTAGATTTGGATGAAGGCATAAAGATTACTATCATAAAATTATAAAATGAACATACTGGATATTTTGATTCATTAATGAATGAGGGAACAATAAGATCATAAACAGAGGAGAATGTAACGCAATTTATGTTAAAGAATGCAGAATTAAATTTATAAATAGAAACAAAACTGGTCAGTATCCACAGGGTGACAGTCAACGGTATTCCACAGGAAACAGTTTCTGCAAACAATAATTATTTGCAGCAACTACAAGTTTTCTATAATAAGTTAACTAGATTAACTAAGTTAACCTCTGCAATGCTGTAAAATAGCTTCATCAAAGAAACAAGTGGATATAACTAACCTAAATGGAGGTGGTTCTGGTCGGGGCACTCACAAAATTTCAGGCTTTCACTGTTTTTCCTTAAATTGGTATGGAAATTTAAAACTCAGGAGCCTTCCTACTATTGGAATGTTTGATCAGCAGTAGATAGAAGGCTTTTAAAGTTCTTATTTAGGTAAAACTGTTTAATTAATGCCAGACAACAAGCAAAACCTTCTGTTTTAAGTTAATTTGGGCATTTCCAACACAGAAAGAGTGTGGATATGATGTAGGGATTCCTTTTTCCTGGAAATGTTTTTAGGCAGTATGCTCTCCTCTTTTCCTGCACCAGCTTGTATTTTATTTTAGATCTTAGCAGCTTCTGATGGAGAAGAACCTAGCTTCAGGAGATTGTGGGGTTTACTGTTTTAGACAATTAACATTCTTAATGCTATGATACAAATAACATTTTATAAATTGTCACAAGAATGTCTTGAAGATGAGTATTGAAAGGCCACAGGCCCTCTCGTCATATTTCCTTGTTGATATTATAACAAATTAATACACATCATTAATCAAATATTAAAAAAAAAATTAAAGAACAGCATACTACTTCTTCCTTTTAAAAACCAGTACTTGCTCTGATAATAAGGTCTATCAAGGATTACTAGGAATCTCTTTTCCTGAGTTTAGATCTAAAATCAATGAATTGGGTAGTTTCACACTCGTAAGTGATAACAGTTTTTTATAAAGGTAATTATGAGTCTCAGATATAAAGTGGACATGAGTCAAAGATTTTAAGTCATTAATTAGGGAGTCTGAAAAAAAATGTTGCCTTGGTAAATTCAAAGATCAGACAAATATATAAGCCCATCAAGGCCAAATGAATTTGCTTCATAAATACAAAACCTGGCTCTTCCACAGTTCGAGGAAGAAGTCAGTTGAAATTCCACCATATAGAATTTATTTGCACATCTACAAACACAAATAAGTTGCATTATTCTGTTTTCTACAAGTTAACTTCTGTTTCTACAGAGTTGAAAAATAGCTCAAAAACCAAGGCACAAACCCCATAGAATCAAATTGATAACTTAGAAGAATGTGTTCTAACAATACATAGTTTTTAAAGATATTAGTTTTTTGGGATTCATTTAAAAGTATTTTACTATTCTTAAATAATTAGTATAGAAAGGAAAATGTTAGCTAAGTTTATTAAATTCTGCATTTTGTACCATAAATGACAGTATGCAGAAAGTACCGGAATTGGCCCCTCACATTATGTTAAAATCATAATGGAATTTAACTTTGTTGTGACATAAATAGAAAAGTGGACATAAATAGAAAAATGAGTGTTTCTAACAAGTGCTTAATGGACCCTTCAGAAATAAAATTACTTTCTTCTATAGAAGTAAACTGATGAAAAATACAGGTGCATTAGTTTTAGGATTTTATTTCAGTAATCTTGCCAATTAAGACCTTTAAATTAGTTGGAACATGCACAGAACAAGGTGTATCAAATCAGCTTAAACTGATTAATAATTGTTCTTTAAATTTGTCTGTTTAGCCGTCTGTAATGTATGTTTTAGAATACATTTCTTTAAGAAAAGCAACTGGGATAAGTCAACTTAAATGGGTACACACCACAGAAACTTGAAATTGTTTTGGCACGATTGAGCTTTCTCCTTAAGTTTATCGGAATGATACTGAAAAACTGTCAGTTACATTATTTACAAGAAATAAAGTATCTTCGAAGTTCTGTTTACCTTAGAATGGATTATGATAATGACTAGTAATAGCTATAGAGAGTACACAGTGTTCACCCTCCTGATGCATTTTTCTACTTCTTCTTTGTGAGGAATAAGCAGATCTCTCATACTGGTGATCTTTCCGCACTGTGTTTTCCTCTCTGAGCAAGTGTTTTTATTGCCCCTAACTTGTGCATGAGAAAACTGAGACTGGCCTGGTTCTTATGTACCTCGCCTGGGCTTCTTAAAAGATTACAGCATTCCACTTGTTAATAATACCAGTGGCACAGGAGAAACTTCTACTCTTGTGCTATTTGGTAATGTGAAGACAGAAAAAGTCTTTTTATGGTAGTTGGCTTCTCAAAACAACTCTTCATGTTTTAGTGATAAGGAGACACAAGTTGCCTATCAAACAGAGGTACATTAGCTTATTATCTACAAAGCTGATAGAGCCTCTTAAATTCCCTCATGGTGACAGAAACCCCATCTGAAGTGAAGGCTTGCAGAGCTGGAGATAGCAGAGCGCTTTCCTTCGTCAAAAGTACAAGCAGGGTTAACCCTACTCTTAGGGTAAAAATTTAATGTAATTATTGAACAATGGCTGTCTTCTTTCTCTGTCAATTAAAACATGGTCAAAGAAATAAGTACTTGATGATTGTTGTTTGTGAACATTTCAGTGATACGCATTACAGCTTACTAAGAAGAGCAAGACTATGAATTAACTAGTCTTAAAATAGATGAAAATAGGGGGGAATGTCAGAAATTTAGGACTAGAATAAATCAACAACTTTATGATAAGATCTGTGTGTAGGCATCTATTCTATTTGTTCTGTTTCTGGGGCTTTGTAGGTTTTAAGAGTTCAGTGTGTTCCAGTGTTCTGAGTATCTACATGTTCACTGCTCATAGCTACTTGGAAAGATTTGGCAAGTAAATGTGTTACCATGGTTGGGGGAGGATAAATGCCTTTAACCTTTAGTGCTCCCAGCTACAGGACCTTTTATGGCCAAGCACACATCAAAGTCCATGAGATTACTTAGACCCATAGAGCCTAGTGCCATGGAGAAAATGTTGTAGAAATAAATGTCATGTTTGCTATATGCACATGCCAAGTAATTTAAGAAGCTAACATATCTACACTAATGATTGTTTATGATTCTTCATGCAAAATTTTTAAAAATCAAAGAGAGTAAAGTGAAATTTTTAAATAATTTGACTTTGGAGAAACTAAGAAAAAAATTACTGAATCTTAATGTACTGTGTTTACATTCTACTTCCTTCAAGAAGAAGGGAGTAAAATAAACATCCATAATTATTGCTAATTATGTTTTAAAGGATACTAAGAACTGCTATGAAATAATTTTCTTTAGATCTAATTTAAATAATCATTTATTGATGAACTTATCTAGGACTAGTTCAGTGATGAAGCTTTGACTTCGAAATTTTAACTTCCTAATTCTTTTCTGGAGTTGGCCAGAAAATCAAGAAGTCTCAGCCATTTCAGTAACTCTACTTTAAAATAAGACTAACCAGGCTTTTAAGAAGAAAGAAAGAAATTATTCTGAAAGTAAATGAATATTCCATAGATCTTCAAGCTCTTGGTTTTTAATTTATTCTTTTAAGTACTAGACAAGTTATTTCAGGATGACTTTAAGTTAAAAATAAAAACCAGAAATGCAACTGTTTTTTGCATTATACTTATCCCAAAATAAGAAAGAAAAAAAAAAAGTCAGTATAATCCAGGAGATACTTTAATGGCACTCAATAAAATTCTCCAGAAGTCAAATCAGTGGATTAAATCAAACCATGAAATATACTCTGAATAACTTTTAAGTGCAAATTTTAAAAATATGTAAAGTCACTAATAATTTACACATTCTAATTAGGAAAGAGTCATTACAGACATAAGTAATTATCAAGTTTGAACGTTATATTTCAAAGTTATACAGGAAAGTGAATAATAGGAGTGAAATGATTGGGATATTGTGCTAATTCTGTTGAGTAGGATTAAACTCTGGTAGGTAGAAAGGAACGTCAGTACATGAAGTTGCTGAAATGTTCAATTTATGAAGGTACTATAACTTCTCAAAGCATCATTTTTATAGATTTTTATTTTTTTCATGCTTTGGTTATATCAGATAAATTGATCAGGCTTTAATCAGATTTGAGTTTTAACTGTCAGAGCAATGAGTAATTTAGTATTTTAAGAAGTTTAGAAAGAAGAATCCAAACAAGTAAATATTCCTTTTCTCTTAACGAACAATAGGAGAATTAATTTTACTTATATCTAATATTTACCTTATTTGAAGAAGTAAATACATCTGTGATCATTTAGAAACCGTTTCAGTGGCTCTTGTATAATTCAATTCATTCCATCTGTGCTCTCTTAATAAATTTTACAGAAAAACTCATGGCAAGTTAGCATTATTTGTGTGTGAATTTTCCAATTGTATTTCAGACTTTAAGAAAGAAAGGCCTTAATGGTTGTGAGAGCCCTGATGCTGACGATTACTTTGAGCACAGTCCACTCTCGGAGGACAGATTCAGCAAACTAAATGAAGATAGTGATTTTATTTTCAAACGAGGCCCTGTAAGTACTTTTACTTTACCTCTACTTTTTATTTGTTGATCCTTTTTGTTAACTTCATTATTTAGGCTCTGAACAAGAAGGAACACAGAGGGTGCGACAGCCCAGACCCTGATACTTCATATGTGCTAACTCCACATACAGAAGAAAAATATAAAAAAATTAATGAGGAATTTGATAATATGATGCGGAATCATAAAATCGCAGTGAGTACTAAAGTATGGTTTGTGCTTTTATCTTGTGCATGAAGAGATTGACCAAACATCTTGTTGCTTATTTTTATAGTGGGTAATGACAAGTAGTAGAAGGGAAGAAAGGCATTTTATTAGTATTTTTTTATAAAACTTTAAGGTAAAATTCCTGAAGTCTTATACATGTTCAGCATCTTAAGTGTAGAAGTGAAGAGAAAACATACTGATCCAGACTCTGCCACTTCTTACCCCAATACCTTTGGATAGGGCACCTAAACATCTTGAATTCTTTCTTCATCTGTAAAGTAAGTGAGTTGGCTCTCATGGTTTTTAAGGTATCTCCCAACTCTAAAATTCTATGATTTATAATATAGAGTATGTCTAAAACTTTCCCTCTACTCCCATGACTTAAAAAGTTACATGTTCTTAAATAGATCTTGAGAAAGCAAAAGGTAAGGTAGTTAGGTTTGTTGCAAAACTTTTTCCTAAATTATTTTTAATTATTTGGTATAATTACTGTAATAATAGTAGAGCTAAGCTTACTGCTTTCCTGTTTGTAAATGTCCCCAAATCACTTGGCAACAATGCCACCAAACTTTTGTTCTTTTTTTTTTTTTTTTGAGACAGTCTTGCTCTGTTGCCAGGGTGGAGTGCAGTGGTGCGATCTCGGCTCACTGCAACCTCTGTCTCCCGGGTTCAAGCAATTCTCCTGCCTCAGCCTCCTGAGTAGCTGTGACTACAGGTGCACGCCACCACTCCCAGCTAATTTTTGTATTTTTAGTAGAGGTGGGTTTTCACCGTGTTGGCCAGGATGGTCTGGATCTCTTGACCTCATGATCCGCCCACCTCGGCCTCCCAAAGTGCTGAGATTAAAGGCGTGAGCCACCACACCCAGCCAACTTTTGTTCTTTTCTTATGCTATAAATACTAAGGAAGAGCAGCCTGGCTTAATTTTAATTTAAGGCAGCAGTGTTCTTAAATTGATTGCAAAACAAATAGTGACTTTATAATTTCTGTATACTCATTCATCTAACCATAGTGAAAGAGTATTTGTCTTTGAGCTCGTGCTCCTAAACTTGATAGTTCTTCAAAAGAGTTCTCACTGGAAGCTCCATTGGCAAGAGCTACTTAAAATGGTTATTCTGGATCTAATTTTCTAATTCTGTATATGTACGTCAACCTCCCTTAAACAAATTAGTTTCAATGCTGACATTTATTTTACCATCAGTTAATTCTCTCAAAACTATGCCCTAAAGTATGCATGATGGATCATTTCTTCAGAGTAATTCTGTATTACAGGTTGAGTATTCCTTACCTGAAATTCTTGGGACTAGAAGTGTTTCAGATTGGGGATTTTTTTTTTTTCCTCAAAATTTGGAATATTTGCACATGTAATATCTTAGGGACAGGACCCAAGTCTAAACATTAAATTCCTTAATGTTTCATACACATAGCCTGAAGAAAGTTTTATACAATATTTTTCATAATTTTGTACATGGAACAAAGTTTGTGTACATGGAACATTGGAGAGCAAAGGCGTCACTGTCTCAGCTACCCATGTTGTAGGTCTTGGCCCCGAGCATTATGGGAAACCTGCTGTTAGCATGTGTAGCCTACACATGTGCCATTTGATTACCCTTTATGGGTGTGCTTGCGTGAGGGAACCTTGGCATGCACAGAAAAGATATATTGAAGCTGAAGGGAGACTGGAAGGGTCCTTTTTCCCTTGGGGACGCTGAATAAACTGTGTATTGTATGCCTGCATTTCCACACATGATGTCAGGTGTGGAATTTTCTATTTGTGGCATCATGTTGGTGCTCAAAAAGTTTTGGATTTTGGGTTTTCAGATTAGGGATGCTCAACCTATATAAGAAGCCAGCTCATGAAAAAATAGCTTTAAGGAGTTATTTTGGGGCAAATACCATTATTATTCTTAAAAACGATACAGTAGCAGATAAAGCGATGTTGTTGACCTTGCGGTTAATGTTAAAGTTGCAAAGATACTGCATAAATAAAACTGTTTTACTTTTGAAAAAAATTGTCATATGCCCACTGTTTTTATATTTGTTGATGTATTATAATTTTTCTACATGAAATAAACTACTGAATAAAGTCCAATAAAATATATTCTTCCAACTTTGAATTAGCAGTGTTACCTTACTTTTGGATGTTAGTCTTTTAAAATGAGGGCAGAGTAAAGTTGTTTTATTTTCTCCCGCTTTAAATTATAAAGAGGAACATTATTTATCATGGTTAACAAGCATATTGTAAATGGTCTATGGAGGAAATGCAAGAGGAAAATAGAAAATATCCTTTTAAAGGGGGTGTGGAATAATTTAGAGGGAGGGAAGATTAGCATTTATAATATTTGTAATTTAATCTTCCTATAATTTAAAGGAGAAACCAAAAACTTTATTACTTTTATTACTGGCTTGGTTAGTAGTTAATTTTGTTGTTTAGATTAGGTTTCTTTGCATTTTCATTATACTCAAATTGCATTGTTATGTATATAATTACTTTTTGTTTGTTTGTTTTGCCCTTTAGAAAGTCAGTTAAATCAGAATAGGGCATATATATAATTTATGAAATTTGACATATTAAGTTAATAACATGTGTACCCACTTTTCTCCTTCTATTATATTTGGGATCTCCCAGTAGAAATGTAAAATTATTAAGCTGGTTTGCATCAAAGTGCCAATTTATGCTTACTTGATGACAGTGATACATTTTGTAATGCCTAAATTTGACAACACTGCTTTATTATCAGGTTTATCCTCTAATTTTTGTATTTATGAATATTTGAAATATAGAATATATACATTATATTGCATTAATATATATTAATATGTAGAACTGAAATTGAAAAGGCTCATGTCAGGCTTATTCATGTTCAGATATAATTCCAAAGAGAATAACTTTAATCTGTAAATTGGTTATGAACTTATCCCTATCCTGTACTTTTAGTAACTTGAGTTACCTTGCCAAATTAAAGTTCATAAGTTACTTTGTAGATGAATATGAAACCAACAGTCTTTTCCTCCTGTTCTTTATTTACAGCCTGGTTTGCCACCTCAGAACTTTTCAATGTCTGTCACAGTTCCAGTGACCAGCCCCAATGCTTTGTCCTACACTAACCCAGGGAGTTCACTGGTGTCCCCATCTTTGGCAGCCAGCTCAACATTAACAGATTCAAGCATGCTCTCTCCACCTCAAACCGCATTACATAGAAATGTGTCCCCCGGAGCTCCTCAGAGGCCACCAAGTACTGGCAATGCAGGTATGCAGTGATACCTATTCTGCTGGTTCTTTAATAAAGAGGGTGGAAAAACTCATTGCTAGCATAAGCAGTTTCTTATTTTGCTAGTCTTAATTTTATTGCTTTGATGAGCAGGAATCACTGCTACGTAATTGGCTCCATTTTAAAGTATTTTTTTGAAAATCAATTGTGGATATAGCATTGTGTCATGCAAAGTAGAACAGTACTGAGAACCTGCCATTTATACACTTTTCCTTCTCATGGGAAAGCCATACTTTGACAGGCAGAAAATTCAGTTAGATATCACAAGCAAGGATTTAAAGTAGAGTGTGAGCCACTCATGTTAGAAATATGGGCGATAGACTTACCTGATTGGAGTTAGAGTATTTTTTGCATTTCCTCCTGATTGAATTACTTCATTAATTCAGCAGAAATTTACATTGCATTTATTGTATTAGTCTGTGTAATGCAGTGTCTCCTCTTCTTTAAGTCCTAGATTTAATTTAATGATTTAATCATACTCCCCACACACTGCCCCCATTTTTATCAGTATGTACTATTTTCGTAATGATGCAATACCACTATTTGGTATTGAAGGTGGACATCCAGCTTGAAAGGTAAACTCACATATATGAGATATGTAACTACATCAGATTACATATTAATGACAACTTCAGACTGGGCTAGTTTGTTTTTTGTTTTTGTTTTTGTTTTTGTTTTTTGAGATGGAGTTTTGCTCTTGTTGCCCAGGCTGGAGTGCAATGGGGCAGTCCCGGCTAACTGCAACCTTCACCTCCCAGGTTCAAGGGATTCCCCGCCTCAGCCTCCCGAGTAGGTGGGATTACAGGCATGTGCCACCATGCCTGGCCAATTTTGTATTTTTAGTAGAGACGGGATTTCTCCATGTTGGTCAGGCTGGTCTCAAACTCCCAGCCTCAGGTGTCTACCTGCCTCAGCCTCCCATTTTTTTTGTGTGTGTCTGGTCAGGATTACAGTGAGAATTACCTCTATTCAGTTAACATTCAGTCAGATAAAGAGAGCTATTTCATATTCATTCTCTGCCCTCTCTCTTTTCTCCGTAATGTTGTTAGGTGGAATGTTGAGCACTACAGACCTCACAGTGCCAAATGGAGCTGGAAGCAGCCCAGTCGGTAAGTGAATTCCTATAGTTTCATTTTGTAGGTATCTCTCCTATCTGAGATAAAAGGATTGTTGTTTCTGCAATAAAGCCTTCTGTGAAATTTCCTTCTGAAGGGTAGTTTCACTAATACTTAACATTTTCTTAGAACAGTCGTGTTTCATTCCTTAAAAATCTTGGCCTTCAATTATTTATTCCATAAGTATGTATTGAGTGCCTCCTCTATAACAGACATTGTTCTTTTCTAAAGACTAAATTGCCTTAAAGCAACATTTACATCAAGATAATTTCTTAAGGAGAAACTTTCTGTATCTTCTCTTCTTACCAAAGTAGACTGTTACCAAACTGTTCTATCTTAACAATAGCATGAAATGTTTTCAGAGAGAATAGAAGAATGAAGAGAAACAGTGGGTCTACTTCTACAATTAGAGAATTAAGAGATTTGTCTCAGCTGGGCGCAGTGGTTCACTTTGGGAGGCTGAGGTGGGTGGACAGCCTGAGCTCAGGAGTTCATGACCAGCCTGGGCAACATGATGAAAACCCGTCTCTACTAAAATAAAAAAAAAAAAAAAAAAAAAGCCAGGTGTGGGAGTGTGCGCCTGTAGTCCCAGCTACTTGGGAGGCTGAGTCAGGAGAATTGCTTGAACCCAGGAGGCAGAGGTTGTAGTAAGCCAAGATCATGCCACTGCACTCCATCCTGGGTAACAGAACAAGACTCAGTTACCAAACAAGAGAGAGAGAAAAAAAAGGTTTGTCTCAGTTAGTTGCTTTGATACAGGTAGAACATTCATACATTGTCATAGTTGTGGCCAAATAGGTTATTTGACTGTAGGACCCCTCCTGTGCTGACTGACTAGCAGTTTAAACACATGTCATAAATGTGTCTGCCCAGGCCTGAAGTGCTCCTAAAGATACAGCATGATCTTAACATTACAAAAACATGATGTATATGTCAAAGAAGTTAAAAGAAGTAACTGTACCCCTTTGGATTTTCATCACTTTAAGACATACTGGTCTGTTAATCTGTGATAATTACAGTTAACATCACTGTTATCTGAAAGCAAGGGCAGTCATTTCCTTCCCTGCTTGGGATACTGTGTGTTCCTTAGACATCTGAAAACAAATCACTTATAGGATTAAATTCCTAACTATGTATTCAACCCATTCACTCTGCAAAATGTAAGGAGCATCTGCCTTAAAATTATGGAGATGGTTGAATGACTTAATAAAAATGATGAGGAAAAAATAAACATCAATAAAGATATTATTAAGACAAGTTATAAAATATTTAGTGACTTAAAGTAGGAATAATTGCCTAATTGTATCTGTCACAGTATTAAATGTTTTTTAGTGGAATTAAACAGATAAGAACTATTGTGGAGTTTTATTTAACAGAAAACAAACGTGTGAAAATACGTAAAGGTCATGCCAATTAAACACTAGGGCTGCTACTCTTGCATGTATATTTCCAAATATTTATGGCTTTTTTCTCAACTCCTGTTTCAGTTGTTTGCATGCCCACTTACTCTTTCTGTGTCCCTTTTCCCATATGTTTTTTATCCCCCCCCCCCAACAAAATAATAAGTTCAGGGCCCACCAAGAATTGTAAGAGCCTAGTATGCTTCTCTCACATTGGGTTGACACCCCAAAAGGCTGGACTCTAGAAGTAAAGTAAACCAGGGATAAACAGTTTTAGTAGCGACATCTTATATATGCATCATCCTGCTTCTTAAAATTAGATTGTGGCAATCAGAAATTAGATTTAGGGGTCCCAGAATGCCTGGAAAGGCGGATAATCTCTGGAAGAATAAAATAAGCCTGGCCAACATGGTGAAACCCCATCTCTATTAAAAATACAAAAATTAGCCAGGAGTAGTGGTGAGTGCGTATAATCCCAGCTACTCAGGAGGCTAAGGCAGGAGAATCACTTGAACCCAGGAGGCAGAGGTTGGTTGCAGTGAGCAAAGATCATGCCACTGCACTGCAGCCTGGGCAACAAGAGTGAAACTGTCTCAAAAAAAAAAAAAAAAAAAAAAAAGAATAAAATAAAACATCTCAGAGCTTATTATTTCTACTTGGCACATAAGGTGAACTAACTAGACACACACACAAATAAAGCCAATGAAAACTTGAAGAAATAAATAACAATAGAACCAGCCTTCTGGGAACTCCAGAATTTGGAGCTATTAGGCACAGACTTTGACTTTAATATAACAGTGTTTACTGTGTTCAAGGGTATTTAAATAAAAAGATTGGGAATTTAACAGAGAACTGAAATTTTTAAAAAAATAGATATTTTAGAATAAAACCATGTGATATTAAGAACTTCACAGATGGGCTTAATAACAGCTTGGACAAAACAAATAGAAGAATTAAGAAACTAAAAGATAAGATAGAAGAAAATTATCCAGAGTTTTAGAGACACTAAAGGATGGAAAATTTAAAAGAAAACCCAGATTATAGAATAAAAAGGTCTGACATATGTTAAATTGGAGCCCCGGGAAGCAAAGTCAGAGAAAATTGGGCAGAAGCAGCATTTGAAGCATTAATCACTGAGAATTTTCCAAAACTAATAACATATAAACAAGCCACAAATTGGGAAGCCCTACAAAACCCACGTGGAATACAGATAATGCTCTACTTTATGAGAAATCTAAACCTTTATGAACAAAAGACTGGGAGATGATGAGCTAAACCTCCTTCTCAGAAAGTCAGAAAAGGACAGCAAATTAAACCTAAAGTCAGTAGAAGCAAATTATGAAGATACAAGCATTGAAATAGAAAATAAAAAATTTTCTATTTCAAGCATGGTGAATCTGATGATCTCATATGAAGTTAGTAACAATCTTTCTGGACAGATTTTGGCAAGATGCTTCAGTCATCATAAAAATACAAGTATTGATACATAGACATAAATTGAATTAAGAAAACAAATATTGATTGTTTAAAAGACTAATAAAATTGAATGCTTTCACTAATATTCAATTCAAAATATTTTCTATTTTCCATTATATCCTTAACCTACAAGTTATTTAGAATTATATTTCCTAATTTCAGATACATGGGGATTTTCTAGTTATCTTTTAGGTATTATTTTCTAGCCAGACTGTTTTGTTACCAGAGAATGCTACATGATTAAATTCTCTGAAATTTGCTGATAATTTTTTGTGGGCCAGCATGTGCTCAATTTTTGTCTGTGTTTTGCACTGGAGAAGAATGTATATTCTGCATTTGCATGGATTGCAAATTCTGGCTTAAATATGTTTTATCTGTATATGTGTAATAACTTACTGTATCAGTTCCAGTTTAGAAACTTGTGATAGGTCAGTTCCAGATCAGTTTCGCTTTACCTTTAAGCCATATCATTTTTACCAGTATTGTCGTTTTCAAATGCATAATTTATTTGCCTTGTTCGTGTTTTAATTTTTATTGCATCTTCTGCCTGCATCCCTAAAGCTGGAATACTTCAGGCCCATGTACTGTTGAAAGAAGCGGCAACCTTGAGACTTTTAAAGCCCTGAACAAACTCAGGAAAGGGACAGACTTCTTAAATAAGAAACCAAAGAAAGCCTAATGGAAAGATCGATTAATTTGCCTGTGTTAAAATTGGAACCTTTGTGCATCAGAAACATTGTAAGGAGAGTAAAAAGGCAAGACAGAATGGGAGAATATATATAATATATATATAATCAATTAGAGGTTTTTTTTTTTTTTAAAGAATATCTACAAATCAATAAGAAAAAGAAAACTCGACTTTTGAAAATGTGCAAGAGAACACAGGCACTTCACAAAAGAAGTTGTGTCTGCTAAATGTGAGGAAATGCTCAGTCTCAGTAGTCATGGAAATGCAAAATTAAACCACAAAGAGAGAACACTGCACACCCACCAGAATTGCTAAAATGAAGTAGATAATACCAAGTATTGACAAAGCTATGAAAAAGCACAAACTCATACACTGGTATTGGGAGTACAAGTTGTTGCAACCATTTGGCATTATCTGCTTAAGCTGCTGATGTGTGTATTCTGTGATCCAGAATTTTCACTCATCCTTATGCACTGTAGAGAAATGCATTTGTGCACCAAGAGATATGTAAAAGAATGTGCACAACATTGTGGTAAAGTTAATATCTGGAAATACTACAGATTTCTATCAACAGTAGAGTGGATAAACATAAGAGAGTACATTCATATGAAAGAATACTATACTGCAGTGAAAATGAAACCTCACCAGTGCTCAACATGGATGAATTTCACCAAACATTATTAATTAAAGAAGATAGATACATACTCAAGATTCTATCTATATAAAGTTTGAAAAGCAGGCCAAAAAAACTATAGTGTTAGGCATGCCTGTGTAGATAGATTGTAAAGCCATAAAGAAAAACCAAGAAATTACTGTAAAATTCATAGTAGTGGTTACTTTGGGTAGGTGGGACTATGACAATATTTTAGGGGGCCCAATTATGGAAACTTTTGGGGTTCTGGCAGTATTCTTAATCTGAATGATGATTACATGGATCTTCATTTTATGATAAATCCTTAACCTATACGTTTTTGTTTTGTACATTTTCTGTTTATGTGTTACATTAGCAAGAAAACGATTTTGAAAATAAGAATATACTAGATATAATAATAAAGGAACTATAACCACAAATATGAAAGCACTTTTTAAATTAGAAGAGAAAATAATGTACATTTTATGTTTAAAGTATTCCAAAATTCAGAAAGAAGTTCATAGACACACTCACATTCGTGCACAAACTATAAGATAGGTAGCCTTTGAGTCTTTGGACATTGTTGTCTGCATGTGGCTGCTGGAAATCAGCACCCAGCTTGAGATTATGAGACAAGTCAGTTTAAGATGACAGGTCAACATGCCAAGGATGATACAGTGAAAAGCCTGGTGGCTGTCAGTGTTGAGCTGCTGAACAACTGAGTCTCTTCCCCCAGTCTTCTTATGTGAGATTATATTAATACATTTTCCTCACTCTCTAGAGAAAAAAAGTAAGATAA